AGACTCAGGTGTGGGTGCAGGTAGGTATAGATATGGATGTGGGTATACACTCAGGTGTGGGTGCAGGTAGGTATAGATATGGATGTGGGTATAGACTCAGGTGTGGGTGCAGGTAGGTATAGATATGGGTGTGGGTATAGACTCAGGTGTGGGTGCAGGTAGGTATAGATATGGATGTGGGTATAGACTCAGGTGTGGGTGCAAGTAGGTATAGATATGGGTGTGGGTATAGACTCAGGTGTGGGTGCAGGTAGGTATAGATATGGATGTGGGTATAGACTCAGGTGTGGATGCAGGTAGTTATTGGTATGGATGTGGGTGTTATTGCTGGCACAGGTGTGGAGGAAGCTAGGTTCAGATTCAGGTATGGGAGCAGGCATGGGTGTGGATGTTGGTAGCAGGTACAGGTGCAAGGGTGTGGGTGCAGGCACAGGTGCAAAGGTGGGTGCAGGCTTTGGTGTGAGTATAGGTGTGAGTGTTGGCCCGGGTATGTGGGTCAGACTCAGGTATGGATACAGGTAGTAACAGGTGTAGGTACAGGTGGATGCCCAGATGTGGGTGCAGGTAGATCCAGGTACAGGTATGGATTCAGGTGTACACCCAGGTGTGGGTGCAGGTGCCGGGGACATGTATGGGTGTGGGTAGGAGGAAGAGTGAGGTTCCCCTCTGCTCTTTGGACTGGCATGGCAGTCTCTGTCTACGTCTCCCCTTGCTGATCTCCCATTGGTTCTGGGCAGGTGAAGCGGGCAGTGGTGCAGGTGATCAGCGCCATGGCCCACCATGGCTACCTGGAGCAGCCTGGAGGTGAGGCGATGATTGAGTACATCGTGCAGCAGTGTGCGCTGCCCCCCGAGCAGGAGGTAAGGCCCTGTCACCTTGCCCGCCTTCTAGGCCCATGCTGCCCCGACCTGTATTGGGCACTGGTATCAGGAGCCGCTGGCCTGGCAGAGGGTGGATGTGTGGGCCAGTCTGCGTGCAGAGGTGCCCTCTGCTGTCTTTTGTTTGTTAATAGAGACAGAGTCTAACTGTTGCCTGGGCTGTAGTGCAGTGGCTATTCTCAGGTGTGATCATAGCATGCTGCAGCCTCAAACTCCTGGGATCAAGCAACCCTCACACCTCAGCCCCCCAAGACTACAGGTGCAGACCACTGTGCCCGGCTCCCTCTGGTTCTGAGTCAGAGCCTCTGCACTGCGCTAGTCCTCTCAGCAGCTCCCAGGAGTCAGAACACAGAGGCAGGAAATAGATTGTTCTATTTGGGGCTTTTCTACTTAAGAAGTTACCATACAAATGCTAATTTCTTCTTGAAGGAGAGCAAGGTAGGACGTGACCATCACTGCGGTGCCCACTGTGCCCCAAGTGGGATCTGTGTATTTATCCTGAAACATCAGAGCTCAGTGAGAGCATGCTGTGATGTTGCCTCTAAGCACATGGTTGTCGGGGCCTGTTGTGCAGACCCCAGCAGGTGGGTACCACCAGCTCGGCTGATTCTGACCTCAGCATCTTCACAGCAGCTCTGTGGGTCATTAGGCATGAACTGGAGAGCCAAGGCCTCTGTTTTAATCTATTAGTTCCTAAGAGTTTGGGACTTGGAGGTTTCTTTTAATATTAGAAAACATTATTAAAGTTTTCTAATAACAAAAACCATTTTGAATAGGATGGAATCTAACAGACTCAAATATTTATATCTATATAATAATAATAATTGTTATTATTTTTGAGACAGGGTCTCACTCTGTCACCCAGACTGGAGTGCATTGGTGAGATCACAGCTCACTGCAGCCTTGAACTGGGCTGAAGTGATCCTCCTACCTCAGCCTCCTGAGTAGCTGGGGCTACAGGCCAGTGCCACCACACCCAGCTAATTTTTTATTTTTTGTGGAGACGGGATCTCACTATGTTGCCCAGGCTGCTTTCGATTTCCTGAGCTCAAGCCACCCTCCCATCTCAGCCTCAAAAAGTGCTAGGATTACAGGTGCGTGCCACCGTACCCAGCACTCAAATATGTTTTAACCACAGTCCCTGGCCGTGTCTGTGGAGCCTCTCACTCATTCTGCATTGCTTGATGTGTGGAGTTCAGTGTATTGATCTTTCTGCTTCCGCATGTTTCAAATTCTCTGTGACAAAATGTTCAAAAAGCGGCCGGGCGCGGTGGCTCACACCTGTAATCGCACCACTTTGGGAGTCCAAGGCTGGTGGATCACCTGAGTTCAGGAGTTCGAGACCAGCCTGACCAACATGGAGAAACCCCATCTCTAGATATGGGTGTGGGTGCAGGCTCAGGTGTGGATTAGCCAGGCACGGTGGTGCATGCCTGTAACCCAACTACTCGGGAGGCTGAGGCAGGAGAATCGCTTGAACCTGGGAGGCGGAGGCTGCAATGAGCGAAGATCACGCCATTGTACTTTAGCCTGGACAAGAGTGAAACTGTCTCAAAAAAAATTTTTTTTAAAGACAAGGTCTCACTCTGTTGCCCAGGCTGGAGTATAGTGGCAGGATAATGGCTCATTACAGCCTCAAACTCCTGGGCTCAGGCGATTCTCCCTCCTTGGCCTCCCAAGTAGGTAGGACCACAGGCATACACCACCATTCCTGGCACTTCTTGTGCCCATTTTCAAATGGGGTCATTTTCTTATTATTGAATTTTGAGAGATCTTTCTATATTCTGGGCACAAGTCCTTCATTGGACTTATGGCTTATAAATATTTTACTTACTTTTTTTTTTTTTTTTAACTTTTAATACATATTGTTTTGTTTTTGAATAGAGACACCCTGTGTTACCCAGGCTGATCTCTAACTCTTGGGCTTGTGTGATTTGTTTGCCTCAGTCTCCCAAAGTGCTGGGATTATAGGAATTGGCCACTGTGCCTGGCCATAAATATTTTCTTACAGGTCCGTTGCATGCTTATCTTTTTACTTTCTTAATACTGTCTTTCAGAGAGCAGAAGTTTTAATGTTTTTTTAATGGCCAGCTTTCTTGAGACCGAATCTCACTCTGTTGCCCAGGCTTGGGTGCATTGGCACAATCTTGGTTTACTGCAACCTCCACCTCCCGGGTTCAAGTGATTCTCTTGCCTCAGCCTCCCGAGTAGCTGGGATTAGGGTTTCACCATGTTGGCCAGGCTGGTCTCAAACTCCTGACCTCAGGTGATCTGCCCATCTTGGCCTCCCAAAGTGTTGGGATTACAGGCGTGAGCCGCCACACCTGGCCTAAAGTTTTAAGTTTTAGGACTCACATATAGGCCTATGATCCATTTTTAGTTAAAAAAAAATTTTTTTTGAGATGGAGTCTCACTCTCTTGCCCAGCCTGGAGTGCGGTGGCGTGATCTCAGCTCACTGCAATCTTCGCCTCCTAGGTTCAAGCGATTCCCGTGCCTCAGTCTCCCAAGTAGCTGGGATTACAGGCATGTGCCATCGTGCTCAGCTAAGTTTTGTATTTTTAGTAGAGACAGGGTTTCACCACGTTGGCCAGGCTGGTCTTGAACTCCTGACCTCAAGTGATAAGTCCGTCTCAGCGTCCCAAAGTGCTGGGATTACAGGTGTGAGCCATCGTACCCAGATGCTTTATAGAAAGTTCTGGATTCGGGTGTTTTAAGTCTCCCACATTTGGTCTTTTTCTGTCATGTTTTGGCTATTTTAGTTCCTTTGTTTCTCCCTGTAAATTTTAGAGTCATCTTGTTGATAACATTCAGTCTTCCAATACATGAAAACAGTATATTTCTACATTTATTTAGAAATAATTCTACATTTATTTAGGTTTCTTTGATTTTGTTCACCAGTATTTTGTAATTCTCAGCACGTAGATTCTGTATATTCTGGTACTTTATTAGACTTGTAAAAGCTATTTTGTTTTTACTGCCATTGTAAATGGTGTAATTTTGTTCATTTCACCTTCTAACTGTTCATTGCTAGTGTATAGAATATAGAATTTATTTTTGGATATTAACCGCGTATCCTGTGACTTTGCTTTTGTATAGATTCTTTGGGATTTTCTAAATAGAGTATCATGTCGTCTTCATATAGACCATTTTATTTGTAAATCTTGATGACCTTTTCTTTTTCTTGACTTACTGCATTGGCGAAGCCTCCAGTATGGTGCTGAATGAATAGAAGTGGTGAGAGCAGCCACCCCTGCTTCGTTCCCATAAGGGGAATGCACTGCCTTTCACTATTAAGAATGCTGGGGGCTGGGCGCAGTAATCCCAGAACTTTGGGAGGCCGAGGGAGGCAGATCATTCAATCTCCTTGAGTTCAGGAGTTTGAAACCAGCCTGGACAACATGGGGAAACCTCATCTTCACAAAAAATACAAAAGTTAGCTGGATGTGGTGGCACATACCTGTAGTCCCAGCTACTCTGGAGGCTGAGGCAGGAAGATCACTGGAGCCTGGGAGGCGGAGGTTGCAGTGAGCCAAGATCGTGCCGTTGTACTCCAGCCTAGGTGACAGAGCAAGACCCTGTCTTTAAAAAAAAAAAAAAAGAAAGAAAAGAATGCTGGGCCAGCACAGTGACTATTTCCTGTAATCCCAGCACTTTGGGAGGCCAAGGCAGGAGGATCACTTGAGCCTGGGAGTTTAAGACCAGCCTGGGCAACATAGCAAGACCTTATCTCTACAAATAATTTAAAAAGTTAGCTGGCCTGATGGCTCACACCTGAGGTCCCAACCACTTGGGAGGCTGAGGTGGGAGGATCACTTGAGCACAGGGAGTTGAGGCTGCAGTGAGCTATGATCACGCCCTGCACTCCAGCCAGGGTGACATAGTGAGACCCTATCTCAAAAAAGAAGAAAAGAGAATATTGTTTGGGGAAGCACTTTAGGAGGCTGGAGCAGGAAGTCACTTAAGGCGAGGAGTTTGAGACCAGCCTGGACAATGTAGCCAGACCTTGTCTCTACAAAAAAAAAATTTTCAATTAGCTGGGTGTGGTGGCGTGCACTGGTGGTCCCAGCTACTTGAGAGGCTGAGGTAGGAGGATTGCTTGAGCCCAGGAGGCTGAAGCTGCAGTGAGCTGTAATCACACTATTATGCTCCAGCCTGGGCAACAGAAGGAGACCCTCTCAGGAAAAAAAAAAAAAAAGTTATATTTATAGTATACTGTAGTATATTAAATGTGTAATAGCATTATATCTAAAAAATGTACATGCCTAATTTGCAAACACTTTATTGCTAAAAAAAATTGCTAAGGATCTTCTGAGCCATCAGCAAGTTACAATTTTCTTGCTGGTGGAGGGTCTTGCCTTGATATTGATGACTGCTGACTGATCAGGGCAGTGGTTACTGAAGGTTAGGGTGGCTGTGACAGTTTCTTAAAATAGGGCAACAGTGAAGTTTGCCACATGGATTGACTGTTGTGTTCACAAAACTTTTCTATGTCTTGTGCACTGCTAGCATTTTACCCACAGTAGATCTTTCAAAATGGGAGTCAGTCCTCTCAAACCCTGCCACTGCTTTATCAACTAAGTTTATGGAATACTCTAAATCCTTTGTTGTCATTTCAACAATGTTCACAGCATTTTCACCAGGAGCACATTCGGTCTCAAGAAACCACTTTCTTTGACCATCCAAAAGAAACAACTCATCCAGGCCGGGCACGGTGGCTCAAGCCTGTAATCCCAGCACTTTGGGAGGCCGAGGCAGGTGGATCACGAGGTCAAGAGATCGAGACCATCCTGGTCAACGTGGTGAAACCCCGTCTCTACTAAAAATACAAAAAATTAGCTGGGCATGGTGGCTCGTGCCTGTAATCCCAGCTACTCAGGAGGCTGAGGCAGGAGAATTGCCTGAACCGAGGAGGCGGAGGTTGCGGTGAGCCGAGATCGCGCCATTGCACTCCAGCCTGGGTAACACGAGTGAAACTCCATCT